CTACATGTAAATCCATTTGCATGAAAGTGCAGGCATATCAAAACAAAACACAGACCATGTTGAATAAAACTATCGATAATGAACCCGTGTGCGCATGTGTGTGTATGTATTTCCATTACGAATTATAATTACGAAGTGTAAGATAATGCCTTTTTGACTGTAGTGTGCGAATATACGTAGAAATATACGGAGAAAAGGCCTTGAATGATGGTGAGGGGACAGAAAGTAAGAACGAGAGAGAACTGAATTAAGAGCTTATAACAAGAAAGGCATTAAAGAGGGAAAGAAGTAAAGAAAGAATGGTAACATGAGGAAAGAAATACCTTATATTCCATAAAAACGGAAGTTCCCTTTTGCTTGAAAATTCTTTGATCCTTTATGTGGTATCTAGAAAGTTTCGTTGCAGAGGCATTGTGAAATGGAACAAAAATTGTTTGTCCTTCTGTATAATCTTAACAGACACCACAAAGAAATATTGCAACACAGCGTGGCACGTATATAACCTCAGCTCTTTCTACCTCTTCCTACTTTACGCCACCTATTTCCTGTTTGAAATGAAAATTTACTTCTCCTGGTGTCATCCTTTTAGTTGCGCTGTGCTTGGAAGTATAAATGTTTAAGTTTATGAGATTAGTCTTTTCTTCATATCTGGTACCAAATTAGCGCGCACCACTGGTGTATGAGAGCGGGGAGGGCGGGGTAGCGTGGCGACATCCTGCAACACATGGCGCTGTTCTAAACTTTACTCACAAACAGCACGCCTTCCCTGAAGTTAAAGAGCACTTTATATGTACTACCGCGCACGTAAATTGATTTAAGCTAAGAGGGAAGAATGAAAAATTAACTTCGGTTCGTAACACACTTAGCGTAAGGCACTTACCAGGTTCGTTGCATTGTGAGAATATGGCCTATTTGACTCACTCGTTATATAGTACACTTAAAGCCCAGTTTTCTTATTCTATAAAGAAATAGAGGCTAGTGATATTATGTCAATCTGTCTGCCTGCCTGCCTCTTATCTTAATAAATTAATAGTTTTTAATTACGTGCCATTGACAGGTCACTTCGCTGTTGTACGTTTTATTTAATTCCCTATCAAGTAGACGACCCTGCGTACTTGTGACGTAAGATCGACATTAGCGCCACCTAATGCAGGGTCCGGAAATTATTCATAATAATGAAATTTCAGACAATATGTAACTTGTGTTCGGGTCTTTATTTTTTTCTTTGCGGAATGTTAAATTATGATTTGGTGGCCACGTAAGATCTCTCCGTTGTTCTGGATTTTTGATGGTAACTAATAAGTCACTTCAACTAGTCATACAGAAGATAAATCACGAAGATGACTGTCTTGAAGTCGAATCGCCGTGGTGATCGGCACAGTATAATCGAAGATATTGAAGGCGTCGTTAAATATACGATCAACTAAACACACTCGTCGTGATCTATCGCCAAGGTAAATCATATAGATGCACATACTTTCAATTTATGAATAACGTATTGTTTATTATTATTGTTATTATTATTTAGTGTTCTGTCTGACGACAGGTCCATATGAACAGGATCCTTCCATCCTTTTCTCGGACTGGGACCTGTTCATATACGTTCTTGGCAGATGATTCAGAAGTGGTTTGCCATTGCCTTCTTCTGTGTGTGAATGGAGTAATTATTGGGATGCCCGGAGGAAAACTCCGTGTTGCCTAGACCACGGCCTTGCCCAACACAAGTTATAAATTCGGGCACCGCCGGGAATCGAACCCGAGACCCCAGGATTACAAGGCCAGCGTTCTAACCGCTAGACCACCGTAGCGAACGTATTGTTTACATGTTAATAATTACAAATATGACGACGATATTGTGAGTCTTTGAGGTTATAACTGACAATTTTAATGTAGTCTGAATCTATATTAAAGGAATTACTCACAAATGAACTCCTAATGGTTTAAATACTAATTCATATTTGCTGTTTAAACATCTGAAAAAAGTAGTCTTCATAACTTTTCATATGGTCTTGTCAGAACATGAAATATCGTGCTGAGCGAGAGACTTCAAATATACACCAACTGAAAATAATGCAACATATTTTTACTGGTGTCATATCTCCACACCTGATTTAGGCCTAATTGTTATGCTGCCTTATCGCATGTCCTCTCGAAGTAGGCAATGAAATATCCTCGTTCTTCTGTACTGATACGGAGTGTCTCAAAACGACGAGTACGTGTTCAAAATTACCACCTTCAGCTTTGTGGTACAATTGACAACGGTGTGGAAGTGACTGACAAGCGGCCAGCGTATTATATTGTATATACATCTTTTTGGGACATTCTGTTTTAACCCCCCCATTCGGGGGGGGGGGTTAGTTTCTTACACAAGATTTTAAAAAGCCATTTAAAAACTTAGGAGCTCCGAAAGGAGCGCTCTGCTATAGTTGTTATAAAATTTCAGAACCTTCTATGCTTATTTTAGAACGTGTATTGTTTTGTTTACCCCTTTAGTGCGGGATCTGTAATGTTGCAGATGCCCTTCAATCTCTCGATGAACTAAACATGTATGGCCTCGCGACATGTGTTCGGAACGGCGCAAGTTTTATAAGTGGCGGAAGGGGAGGTTACAACTACAACCATCACCATACCAACGGTGAAACGCGCTTTCTTCCATTAATAACGTACCTCATCTGGGTTTGTTTCCAAGATTTACAAGTATTCATAGTTGTGCCCACAGTTTCGGTTTTGACATACAATATAGATTTAATTATATCGTTCGTAATCTTTTATAACGCGTAGAATATTTATAAACTTTGAGATTGGTTTGTATTTGAATTGTTTACCTTAGTGTAAGTTTTAAGTTTTGACGGGAGAGAGACTTGTTGAAGCATGCGCATTCAAGATATGTAATTTAAATTATGGCCACTTCGTCATATTAAGATGTCTCCAGGCTACGTGAAAAGCGAGCCTGTTAAAGTAATAAAGCATGTTAGACAGGAGAGTGTTAGGGTCTCAGTAGATTTGACTTTATACTTTTAACCTTGGATGTTAAATAGTAACTGTTCTCCACCTTTAAAGACTTAGAGCCACGTTTATGCTTTCTTATAAACTCGCGAGCCCCCGGGTTATAAATGCCTGCAATATATTGCAACTTAATGGCGATCTATTAAACGTGCTAATAACTTAATTTCTCAAACAGATTTGTGTAGGAATTAATAACTGTCTTTACAGATTTGTTGCTTTGTTCATTTAAAATTAAATATTCAGTTTAGGCTGTAACTATTTTTCCTTTTACAAATTGACAATATTAAAAGAAATGCACTTATGTAGCACACAACACATGGCAGGTGACGGGTTGGGTCCTCGCTTTGTAGGTTGACCGCTAGACAGATTTTAACATACAGTTATCGGAATAAAAAAAGTTTCGCTCGGTAACCACGTTGTTTTGGGTTTTCATATAAAATTACTTTAATAAAATATAAATGAATATCACGGTACATGTTATCAAAACTCGCTTTGTAATCCCTATTTATTTAGTTTCGAAGTGTCACCAATTTACTTCAGAACAGTACTTTAATAATTGAATATAACCAAGCCATTGTTAGTTGTTTCTATTTTTAGGATCTCACTAATTTACTTCATAATTGAGCACATCCTTTTAATAAAAAAAATAGCATCTAACCCCAACAATTTTAATTATGGTTTGGACTTTTCATTTTGTGTGCAACATGATAGGGTGGTATGGACTGGATTCATCTGGCTCAGGATAGGTACCAGGGTCGGGCTCTTCTGGACACGGTAGTGAATCTCCGGATTCCATAAAATGTTGGGAATTTCTTGAGTGGCTGAGCTACGTTTGGCTTCTCAGGAAGGACTCGGCTCCATCATGTAAGGCTTATTTTATTGCAGCAATAAATTACGAAATGCGTTAAATTTTTATAATGCCTGTTTCTTTATATCTGCTTTGGAATTGCTATTTGTTTTCAATTTAATCTTTCCGGCAAGCCTAATAAATTGCTCAGGTATTTAGATTCTTAAAAAAATATTCTGCTGCAATTCTGGAAGTATTGTAAGATATCCTCAGAAGTATAAATAATATCTATGTCCATTGTGCTATGTAGGTTTGAAACGCGCGGAAATCTTTTATTGTGTTTTTATGAACGGGAACTTTCAGAAGGAGCTGAAAGGGGATCCTTTGGGACATATTGCGACTCGAAAAAACTTCAAAATAAAATGTCACTAGAGAAAAGTAAATAAACCCACCAAACGACCAAAAGTATATTGACATTTGAGAAGCTTCTACAGAATTCTGATATAAAGTCTGATGGCAGGGACATACCACGTTGAATCTGAATGAATGTAAAGGTGTTTAAACACAGACATACTGCCTGGAAGAAGTAACCAGACATTTAAAAAAGCTTCAGTCGGGGTAGTAAAGTGAATAGCCACCGGCTGAACGACTCTGGTTCGACGCCCTGCAGGAGAATAATCTATCTCTTCTTCACCACATCCAGGCCCTTTCGTTACTAAGCAGTAAGGGCTATTTGTCGGGGGTCAAGCAGTCGGAACTAGATGGATGACTTGTACTAATTGTTATTTCCTCGTTATCATAATATCGTAATTGGTTATTCGCTTCGACCCAATTATTTTCATCACTACATTAGTTTAAAAGGCTATAATTCATAATATGTTCTCAAAAGAAAAGATACATTCTTACGTGTATGCAATGAAAATGGAATAAGCACTTTTTTAAGTTCCGATCGAATATGCTCTGGGAAGTCCACAGCGCAATGACAGTTTTCGAACTGAACAGTAACAGCATTAATTTAAAGACCTTATTATTTTTTCTGATTACATTATTAAAATGATTTGTGTCTGTGGTTAAATACGATTTTCGGGTACATTTTCAAACATTTGAAAATGTTTTATTACATACAATTATTAAGAATTTGTTTACTCAATTTCTTTGTACCATGTTTGTACATATTTAGCTTCATCTACGTTTTGAGCCATGCCTCATGGCTCGAAGTGGCTTATCTCCCCTCTCTAAGTTCTTTGGAGTCGGCGGCTTCGAGACCCTGATGAGACAGCAGGGCAGAAGGACAGTCTGTGTGTGTCCGCCGGAGAGAGAACGACTCGAGGAGAAAGTCGGAAGGCAAGTCAGGGTTTGTGGGGGTTGAGTTGGGCATCTGGAGTCGCATACCCAGCCGGAGTTTGAGCCCTGAAAGGTGTCTTGATTCTGTTTATCTTATATTTAAATATTTTTCATTAAATAATATACTTCGATTATTCGAAGTAGTTTCATTTGGTTTTCTTTTGACTTTTCACCGCTTTACCCTCCCCAAGCCGTACCACCTTCCGGCCTGGGACGATCGTGGCCTCAGTTACGTAATCTGGCAATCTCCTTCTTGGCCCATCCAACGCCCCACCTGACAAACTTGCCCGCTAGCATGCTCAAATACAAACAAGCGCCAGCACTGGCAAGGTCGGCAGGCCACAACAGAACCTGTCTGTGCCACACGGTGTTCACCACAACATACTTAGGACCTACAATACCGTCAAAACCGTTGGGATCCAAAAAATAAAACTTCCGCAAACCAAATTTCCGAAACCACGCTCTGCTACCATTGAACCCCCCCGCCCCCCCCCAAAGCAACAATTATGTTTTGCAGAAGCGCTTCTCAGAAGTCCAGCTCAAGTTCCAGAGATTCCGATCCCCATCGAACTTAGAGCCCCGGCTTGCAAGAGCTTTGAGAGAACTGAGAGGTGTGGAGGAGGCAACTTGCCTGTTGGAACTTGCTTCTGATGATCCAGAAGGGATTGAAGGACAACTTAAGCATTGCACGAGATTTTATCACACACTTGCTGATATAAAGGGAGAAGTGGAGAGCATAATTAAATCAGGTCGAAAGCTGGTGGAAGATAAAGCTGTTCCAGACCCTCAGAAGTTCACGACAAGGATTGACACTTTGAAGGAACTGTATAACAAGCTGGGTTCTCAAATAACAGATCCTAAAGTTACATTAAACTCAGCTTTAGGACTGTCACAGAATTGTCCAGCATTGAGTGAATGGATTAACAATGTTGAAGTCCAGCTAGATGAATTTGAAGGCACAGAAGGAATTGATACAAATTTGGATTTACAAGTCGCGTATCTGAAGAAAATATTAGAGGAGGATATTCCAAAGTGGAATCTGAAGAAAGAGAGTATAAAATCATCATATAAAATATTTTCTGGCCTCTGTGATCCTGTTTATTTGGAAGTATTAAAAGAAAGGGTGAATGACAGCATGAAGAAATGGGAGAAATTGAATGGAAGGTTGAAGAACGTGTCTGCCGTGCTGGTAAGTACATATCTCAAGTGAGAAGGGGCCAGAGTCAAATAAAAGCAAATAGTTTGTAGATAATCATATGTTTGCTTCTTTGCTTTTCATGTTAAGGAGAATGCAACTGCAGCTAAAAGCAAACTTGAGCAAGTCAACTGTTCAATGGCAGAAATAAATCAATGGTTGAATGAGATAGAGAAAAGTGTCCATGAACTGGATGCTCTTTGTAGTCGTCCGAACCCTCAGCCGATAAGGTTTTATTTACTTTATATTAGTTTAATGTATCTATTTATAAGTTAGTTGATCTATTGGCGACATGTTATTGAAA